TTAGTGTTTATCTACGAACAAACCTGGACTTTTGCAACACTGGCGCCTGTGCCGCTGGATGGGCGGAGAGAGGCTGGATCTACCTATGTGTGTTTAGTCTCATGAATGGACGTGAAGTGTAAGGATCGCTTCATAGATTACAACACTGAAAGTAATCGAATTCTTACAGATCCCTCAAAACCAATTAACTTTCCCTTCCTTAGCCCAATCCCAAATTATTTGTTTTCTACTTTATTCTTTACGAAAACCAAAAAATAAAAAATAAAAGATTATTGATCCAAAAAAATAAAAAGGAACTTACACGGATTGTTCTTCGAGTTCCGTTCCAATTCGACTACTCATATTTTTTAAAAGATGAACCGAATCACCCACTTTTTCCAGATCTCTGTCCTGTTCATTTATTATTAGCTGAAAAATTTACGTAATACAGGACTCGAAAATTAGAACACAATTGTTGTATGTGGGAAAATGTACAGGAAACTGGCTTAGCGGTTGATAATAACAAAAAGAAGGAAACACTGGGGACTAATGTATATTCAGTTGATCAAAAACTAATCCATTCATTCCCCAAAAGTAATTCATATAGACGTAATTTATCCCCTATAAGTTACAGAGGTAGTGGTAAAAAAATTCGTGCAGCAGCAAGTGCCAAAAGCAGTTACAGGCTAATTAAGGTTGCCAATGACTCCTTTTCCAAAAAGTTTCCTAGAAACAAGCGGAAGGCGCTTTCCGAGCAAATGCCAGTACAAATTTACCATCGAAAAGAATGAGCCAGTCCTAGAAGAACTGGTCATATTAAAGGCGGAAGAATCGAAAATTCGACCCTCCTTAGCATGAGAATGGATTTACTTACATCTGCACTATAAAATGAAGAAAACTAAACTTCCGAGGCGTAAAAATTTCAATCCAAACCTGTTGTTTCTGTAACGTTTCAGCAACAAACTGCGTTGAAGAAGTAGGTGAATCACTCAGACGCGTATACCGATATCCAGCAGTAGCTGCCGAAGCCATCTGAACCAAAGACACTGAGGGCTGTACTGATGATTCCCACCCCCTAATCACATTTGACACTGTCTGTGTTTATAGATAAGAGATGAAACATACACATACCAACCTACATACCCCACCTAGATAACTATTCATCATATCCTAAGGCTTGAACCACAATAACAACTTAAACCACTATTCTATCACAAATTAGCAGCAAACTCCACCCTTCCACTCCTAAAATTTGAGGAATCCAGCCCTTCCGAACTTTCTTTGGCTTGTACGAGCCGTTGCTTCAGAAGGTACGGCTCGGCCTATCAACGGCCGCAAACAACCACTTGACAACTGTACTCTCTTCTTTGGCCCTGTTTGGACCGTTCCCAATTTTGGTTCGGCCTTCTATGGCCCCTAGGTTCTATTTCAGTGCGCAGATAGTTCAACCGTTTTTGCATTCATGCAAATGAAGCAGACCGGTCATTTCCGTGTGCAAATTTGTGCCTTTCCGCACAATTTAACTTCAAAAACAGCAGCAAACTAAAAGACTTAGATTTTGGAGGTAAATTTCCTAATCCTTTATGAGGACGAAATAAATTGATAATCCATACCTTCCCTTATCTTTTAATTGATTATCCTCCAGTCCAAATTAGAAATACAAAAAATTATAAATCGGAAACTAAAAAAGTCAGAAATTCAAGTTTTTAAATTGCATAACCGAGCAAAACAAGAATACCAAAATCGCCTGAACAATCAATGCGGCGATCCTACATTAGTGGCATTACTTGATGTTTTCATGTACCAGGATCTTTGATTCTAATATCTGCATATCTTCGGCTGGTGCTCATCGCCTCCAAACAAGTAATTTCCCAAAAACAGATCCCAAACACACATATGTAACACCATATGAAATCGAAATTTAGGGCAAAATTTTAGATCCCCAAAATTCACTAACTGTTGTTGAAATTTTAAAGTTATAAACAATGAATATTCCTGGCTAGAAAATTGGAAGAGCAAGGGGTCTATGCGTTAACAAATGCAGTTTGTTTGGCCTTACTGGCCCATTACCGTGGAGAGGAACACAATCGAATTTTGACAATTAATGAAAACACGGAAACAATGACATTTAGGTGTCCTAAATAGACTTTTTCGAAGTAGAAATCGATGCATTTCATCGATGCGGTGATTTTAATGACTGACAGAGTGTAAGGTTAGCTAGGATGGGGTTTACGACACGTACTGGAAGAACACGTTAGTACGCAGGTTATGTTTCATTCCTTAGCTGTAAACACAGACAGAAGTAGAAGTTGCGAGTAGGAATGGGAATCATCAGTACAGCCTTCCGTTCGCCTTGAGAAAAAAA